TAATCGCTAGCCAACTTTTTAAAGGTTTTCAGCGCCACTATTAGCCAGTCACAAGCTAGTGACTAGCTAGAACATCTATCTAGTCAGTAACATCATCTAGCTACTAGCCTCTAAATCGAGCCGACTAGATTCATTTCTGCTCGGGTATACGTTGAGCTTTCAAGTATGTAATAGTTCTTCTTTCAAGAATAAATGGCTTTGGAATTATGTCGTTGCGCTTGTTATAACCGTATAATGATTTTAGAAACAAGAATACCATATTAAGGATAAAATATATTCCATACAAACTTATTTATTATTAATGTAAATAAACATTTCTGGCTAAAGAGAGCATTCCATGCTCAAATTAATGCAAATGGCGTTTAAGAATAAAAATATACGTGATTTAAGGATTCAGTTTTTTGTGTGAGGGCTTAGCAACGCCAATCGCGAGACAGCCGAATCTCACCGCGAGCTTGAATTGGGCGGTAGGCCGGGCTCAGGCAGCGATCTTTAATAATTAACAACGAAATATTAACTAGATCCTTTTAAGATATAAATCAATTAGAAACGTAAAAGCCATTTAGGACCTGGCACAGGTGGAGGTAGCCAATTAAATTACTAAGTGAATCCATATACCATGTTTTTTTCCAACCTTTCCTACGCGCCGTTACTACCGGCCATATAACGCAGGTTTCATAATTAATAACTCGTTAACTTTTGCGAAAATTGCAAAATGGTAGAGGACTTTTCCACTCAGTCTAGTCCGCTTTACCCGCAAATAAGGGGTGAGGCGGGTATTACATAACACCCTGTATAGATTCTTAAAATTCATCGCGCAAATCTCTACTAACGACATAGTCGCACGAAAGAGACGACTATTCTTTGTGGAAGCATTTACCTCGTCAACGGTAACACTTTACGCATTTACGTTGGCACGGCCAACGTAATGGTCACTCTCGTATCTTCACTGAGCTCGCTGAAACGGTATCAGAACGGATGCAATCTCGTCGGCGTAATTTCCAACGGTAAATACTTCGTCATGCGTACGAGTGCGCGGGGGTTGTTACGGTGGTATCATTAGAGGCTATTACGACAAAATTTTTACGATGAACTCCTTGTTTCTCGTTTTTCTGCGGGGCGAATTGACTTATGTACCCGCCACCTCAGAAGGAAGGCATAAGGCGAGATTCTGTTTGAAATATCTTAAGTTTATACTACGAATATAAATACTCCAAGACCGCGAAAATATCATTAGATTGTTTATTGCGAGAAATATTATACGCCCCGGTGGTCGAATTGGTGAGACCCTCGCGAGGGGTAAACCGCTGACCAAAATCATGTACACCAATGCCTACTAATGCCCGGTGAGCATTACTTAATCTTATTATCTTATTTTATCTTTATAATGTCCTGTCAAGGCCTCATACCCAAGCTAATGCCCAAAAAATGCTTAGTAGTGCCTAGAAATGCCCAGAGACCTCAAATCTGTACACCACAATGCCGTCAGCGGTTTGCCCCTCGGTGAAGGAGGTTCAGGTTCAAACCCTGGCTGAGGTTACTTTTCGCAATAAGTTTCTTTAATTAGAATTCGCCACTTGGGTCGTCTAATAATATCCTCTCTTGATGAATACTTGAACACTGGAATGCTTGTTAAGCTATAACAGTCGATTATGGACTGGCAATAATAAATAAATAATTATAAGAATCTTTAGTCTCACACGGCATTACCTTACGTATCTTACCGCAGCGTGATTGCGTCAATTGCATTATACATTTGAATATTTTTTATTTTGCAGCATTGGCTGGACCTAGCGAAAACGGCGATCAAGCAGGTGAAAGGTTGGTATTGTTCGGAACTTGACAAGCATTACCTTTTGCGAGCGCGAATCTTCAAAACTACCATTGTTCTCTTTTAACAAGAACGTTTTGGAAAATGGAGCACAACTTCCGTTTCGTTCCATTCTGTTTTCGAGGAGGTGCATACCGAGCATTCTCCCGCGGAGGCGCGCTCAAATTGCAACAGTCCCCTATCTCTCCCCTCCGCGGTAACGTCGTCGCGCAACGCGAGGGAATTAACGACGCAACGGATGTGGCTGTAATCCGAAGCACACAAATCGACGTCGGGCGAACGTCTTATTACGTTCGGGAGCAATTCCGTTTTCCGCCGCGGAAATGCTATACCGTCGCAAAGGCATTATAGTCGATCGGCCATAATAACGTTGCCGCGCGTGGAGAGACGCAGGTATCGGCGGAACAGCTGTGACCGAGGCAGGGTCGATCGTCGTCGAGGTACGACTTTTCCCTCCCGCGTCCGATTACGTCGGGTCGATGTCACATGAAAGTTTCAAGCAGTCGCGACCCGCTGGCCTATTCTCGTAAACTTGAACGGACTTTGGCGCAGACCTGTCCGAAAGCGTTAAGATATTTTTTTTCTCCCTCCCCCTGGAAAATCCCGCCCGGTGATCACGCGAGCTGCTCGACGAAGGGATTGAACGTCGTCTCCCGGAAAAGATACTCTCGCGTTCGTCGAAGGTGCGACCGGAGTCGCGCAGATTTTTCCTTTGCACCGGAATTAAATAAACTCCAAGGGCTGACTTTGGACTCGCAAAGAGATGCCTGTGAACAGCGCGGTCTTTGTGGTGTACCTGTTGAGCTCAACGCTCGCAGAGTTAACAGTATTAATGTCACAATATATTTACGTTATAAACGTACTTGCAACTTTGCGCGACGCGTGTTTTTCAAGGTGAAAACTGATTAAACGCAACCTGGTCCGGTTTACTCGATATTCGTACGTTTAGCGGAAGGTCAAGACGCTAGAGCTCGCGAGCCAGCTCGCGCGGGTGTCTTATAGCTGCCGAAAGCAACGAGCCGTAATGATACCGTATCGAATGGGATCACGACCTCGCATTACGGAGGCGGTGACGTTGTATTATCGCCGAGTGTAGAGCCCGATTTGCATTGGCGATACGTACGCAAGTGTATATTTTCACCAGCTGCTCCTCTCATTTGTATAAAATAAATAACTACTTGTCTCCGCGCGGTGTGCCCAAACGTTCCCCCAGCGAGACACGTACCTACGACGGGATAATCATGAATTCGCGCGTAATGAGAACCTACGACCGTCGCATTTTCCCTGGCGAAGCCATTAGTCCGCTTCCGTTTCTGTCTTCGTTGAAGTGTTTTTATACGCGTGGAATGCTTGCAAATGCTAGCGTTTCCACGCCAATTTCCTTTGATATCGCGTGCGTATCGATTGTCGTTCCGAGAAGAGAAAGAGAGAGAGAGATCGATAAATTAACGCTCGCTGTTACAAAACTGATTATTGGGACTAATTATCCCAAACTTTACAAAATTATGTTTAATTGCGTCAAGTCCGATCGCGTCGTTGTGTGATAAATATACAATAATATCTATAATGGAGGAGGTTTAATAGATAATGCAGTTTTTCGAGATGACTACAAAACACACAGAGGTGTACGACGATATTTGTACTATTAATTTACGTACATTAACTTACGTACATTCGTGTATTCGTGACCGGTTTGTGCGAAGGAAATAGATACGGATTTAGCACGCTTGCGTTAAATAGATTTGCGAGCGAGATTATGTCAGATGTACGTTTCAGATCAAGCGCGTAGAATTATATCGAGAAACTTATCGGACGTTGGATCGCGAGCGTATAAGCATTTCCCTTGCACGACAAAAGTACACAGTGTCGTGAGCGAAGACGCTGCTGAAACGTATCCGACTTTTCGCCGTCACTATGTTCTAGACATGCACGAGATTTTGCTGTGCTTTCGCGTGAAATTCTACCCGCCCGATCCTCTGCGGCTAAAGGAGGAGATCACCAGGTATCAAGTGTACCAGCAGCTCAAAAGGGACCTGCTTTACGGACGTTTGTGTTGCAGCCCCGGTGAGGCGGCGCTTCTGGTGGCTTGCATCGTGCAAAGTAAGTTTGTCCCGCTTATCATCCTTGGCTGATTTTCCATCTTCGGATTTTACATCACAATCGTGTCTTAACGAAAGAAAAGGCAGCGAGGCACAAAGACTCATCTGACCGTCCATGCCTTAAGTTTTACGCTTTCATTTCTTGGTAAAGAAAAGGGGGACTGTTGAATTGATTTCCCTCGCACATTCTTTTATCATTTTCCATGCATTGAAGTCGCATTTTCTATTAGTCAGAAATATTAAGAAATCGTGTTAATTCAGAAATTCAACCATAAGTTTTTTCTTAAATAGTCGAATTAAATAAACTATTGTTACGACTATAACGATTAATATGATTTTATATCCAATACTGGATTTATAAACAATGGACAGGGTGTGAGACTTGCAGCCACAGTTGCTGCAGCTTCAGCTTCTCTCCACATTTCATGTGCCCGTTCGGTCAATTTATTCCTTTATCTCGACTTCGGGAATCCCATAATTCAGGATTTCCTTTCCAGTGACCTATCACGGTCATCGTGTATCACCCACCCCGCCCGTTGATCGTCGTCCATCGATCGTGCAACACCATTCTCGTAAAACATACGATTGTGTGGCTTCGTGTTTATTTTCTTTGGAATTTATCCGGTAAAAAAAACTTCAACTAATGGCCCGAATCTGTCTCTCTCGTGAAATGCGATTAAACCTATTACAAAGTAAGTAGTTGAACAGTGTGCGCTGTTGAAATATGAAGGATCAGTGAATTTTGCTACTCGATTGGTTAGCGTCGAGTCGCGTTTTCGTCACATAAAGTTGTAATCGATGATACCTTTAATACACATTCGTATGCCGGTAAATTTAGTCCCTCGTGCTTCGGCGAGAAATACAACTGTCTATTTACGGAATCTCAGACTGTGATCGAAGTTAGTCTGGAAAGTAACCTTCCGGAGTCGGCGTCCTCTTATATAAGTAGGGATTCGACCTTTTGTTTGCCTAGCGATCTCGTTATCGAAGAAGTATGTAACGGGCCAATCAATGACCCGCCACTTTCCGCCGTAGCCGATCGTGACTCTTTGTATTAAAACTTCGGGTCGTCGACCATCAATTCTTAGACCGTTCACCTCTTTCAGCGAACCGCGACTGCAACTGCAAAAACTACTCGCTCTTGGTTGGATCTTTTTGCTGACCTTGGCGATAGCCGTTCTTACGCTCCTCGCAGCGGAATGCGATCGGTATGCTCTTCCGCCATTTGCTAAAGTAGGCCGTTTTTCATGCAGATTCCTCGTACGTTCTTCGCAAAATAAATGGCTTTCTCCACATAGATGTCTCTCATCAATTGGAGCAGATAAAAAGTGCCGCGGATTAGTTTGATATTTCGAGAGATTTGCTTGCTTTCCTCTGTCATTTGTCTTTGACATTTGGTTCAAGTAGCGCTCATTTCTCAATCGCAAACGATTTATATCTAGTCATCCGCGCCCTGTTGCCACTTGAGTAATAGCCGCGATAAGCACCAACCATTTTTCAAACTATCCCTCATGCGATCGTCGTTTCAGAGAGTACACGATAATTACTCTCGTCGGGCATCCACTTCTCGTAGAAACCAGATGCAAAAAGAAGGAATTTCTTAACTTTAGAAAACTACGATTTACAACCATAATTTCCAGACGATTTCCTATTCAGATATCAATATAAATAGAATGAATGAACTCTGAATATGTGTCTACGCGTCGAGTGAGGAATGAGAAGAAACGCGCGATTGATACTTACGACTCGGCTTTTCTGTTTCGGAATCCTCAGGTGAACTGGGGAATTACGATCCCGAGATCCACGAAGGGAACTATATCTCCGAGCACAAATTGCTGAAGACGCAGACGCCGACGATCGAGGACAAGGCGATGGAGCTACATCAGACTCAGTTGAAAGGGTTCACCCCGGAACAGGCGGAAACCTACTTCCTTAGGATAGCCTCGCAATTGGACACGTACGCGGTCGATCCACATCCGGTCAAGGTAATTTTAATCCTTGCATGCTCCTTGCAACAGCGAGCGAATAATGTCAAAGGACTTTCGATTCAGGGAATTTGTCCTTTCACGCGCTTTCATTGCAATACATTCCAACTTGGTCGTTTGCGAATAGCAGATCGACGGAATCGCTGACAAGAACTGGAAACTTGGTATTTCAACTGTTCGAATGAAAGATCCCGAGGAAACGGATCTCAATGGTAGCCGAAGTAGTCGTGATCGACAACAATGTGGACGACTACGTTGTCGAGGAACAAATTTGAATGTTGCTAACGGGTTGATAGCGTGACCGACTCGGGCCAACTCTCATGGTCGTTTCCTTTCGTGATGCTAATGACGCCCTTCTTTATTTCCGGCAATACGTTTCAATCCGTTAGCGTACCGTTGTCCCTTGACGAAACTCGCTATGAACGTTGCTTACGCGATTCATTACGAGTGGCGTCTACCCGTCCGATTCGTTTGGAAACTCAAGGCCGATTAATGATATTTATTGGTGTAACGAGATCGCTTTCGGCGACTCGCTTTGCTCAACGAGAGACTCGAAATCTCAAATTACTTGATTTCGAATACTGTCACGATAGGTGGCACTCGGGAATCAACATTAGACTGTTTATTGCGATAAGATTGCCATGTGCCTCGGTGGTCGAATTGGTTGAGACGCCCGCCTAGCGAGAGGGAGGTCCAGGTTCAAACCCTGGCCGAGGTGATATTTTTTCGCAATAAATTTAGAATAGAATATTTAGACACTACCATCCTGTCACGGCTCTGAGTCCTTTAAACTCTTTGAAATTTGTGTTTAACACATACGAGCTATACTAATTTATTTATCAAATTACTTGTTTCATAATTTTTCTTTTATTATTATCATTACAAATTGTTAGATTTTGCTTCAAGATTAAGGGGAAATTTTCGCGCAAAAGTTTCACCAGGATGCAGCGAAAAGCATCATTTATCTTATTCTTATCACGAATGCGGATCACAATCCGGGCGCGAGAGTAACGAGGCTTCGTCGCGAGTTTTGAGAGATCAACGAACATGGATTAATAAATTCGAGCACGGCCTATATAGTGTAGCTATATAGGCGCCGCGGATAAAAGTCGTATATCTCGCCTATGTCGATAAGAGTCCATAACCGGTTTATCTTCCTCGCGAAAGAACGATCGCGCTTTGTGTGTTCGTTTCATAAATCGACGGTCCTTTTTACGCCATCCAATATCCGTGGTATCTCGCCGCTTCAGAACGTTGAAACGTACCTGGATCTAATTGCATTTCGATTATTACCATATGATAACTAAACGTTCTCGATGTTATTGCGTTATCATTGTACCTGTAAAACGTGAGTTGTATGATTTGAGAGTACGCGCATTATAAATTTCAATATAAATATTATTAATTTAAGCTAACGCGTACATCACAGGGAGCTGCCAGACAAGTACAGATTTCCATTCACTCGCGCCATTTAGCTCGTATTTAATTTAGCACACTTTAATAATTCCGACTCACGTGGACTTTACTTCTCATCGGGCGGTTTCGCAAGCTGGGAAATGCTTTCGGAGATAACCGATTCTAGCTGCCATTGACGTCTCCGCCAATATCGCGGAATATGAAGCAGCGTTCATTGATATTCAAACGAGGAGCAACCCTTTCAGGGGATTTCCTCGGGAGGGCATCTATTATAACCCGCCGACAACGTCGATTGAGGATTCGTTCGAGACATCTTTTTACGATTGTTACCGTGATACGTACGAATCCGCGTACAGCTTCCCAACTTGCACGCGTCGAGAAGTGAACATTTCAGAATTAGATGTTACCCAACGGGGAATCCACAGTATTGTGTAACGTCCCGCGTGATTTTTATTATTTATACGAGAATTTTCGTGCGATCTATCTAAAGTGCGATAATCTAGCGATAAAATGCTTTTGAATATTAACTCCACCACCGACGCACTTTCAACACCGCTAGTGCAACGCACGCTATTGTTTAATTAATGTCTCGGTCGATCGATGCGCCCATTGAAACCACCGCGCCGTTATCTTTGCCGGGACACTCTTGCTGACAAATAAACTACGATATATAAGCGGCTCGGCGAACGAACAATCTCGCGTTTCGTATCGCTCGCGAGGAAAAACAAGCCGCTATTATTCGTCACGATGCATTCATTGCTTGACTCTCGTCGCGAGAGGCGACGTGGTGGCACCTGTCGTTTATTGGTTTTTCACTTCCTGGCTGCACGGCGACATTTTCGCTGAAGAAATAATCGCGACCCACTGTTGCGACCGTCTTCCGTTTAAGGGAAAATAGCATTTTTATGGCACGACATCGTTGACTACGAAACTCACTCGAGAAAGGGCATCACGCTCGCCTGCAAAGTATCTGCATAATATAAAGCCAACGGCACACGATACTATTTTGCCTACTGGATTGCTTGCGAGAGCCAATCAGGATTTAGCCTTCAGTCATCTGATCTACAACTCTACATCCTTATTGGCTCTTGCAAGAAATCTTGTAGACAAAATAGTATCGTGTACCGCTGGCTTAACTAGTAGGTCCACTCTCTGTCGGCTCCTTTGCGGTCCCGATCACATGGCATTCCACCATTGCTTTGGTCAGCAATCCAGCGGTGTGTGTGTGTGAGTGTACGTACTCAGCAAAGTTACACTACCACACATACAACTTTTCTCTCATTGGCTTGACCAGATCAATGGCGGATGCGCAAAAGGGATCGACGCAAAACCAAACAAATGACAGAGCGGACCTACCAAGCAAGCCTCGTCTACATAGAAGTCGTAAAGTCGTAGTTGTAAGAATAGTCGACTATAATTGGTTAATTCTTATGTGTCCGACTGAATTGGCTAATTACAGTCTATTATAATAAAATGCTTTTTCATTCACAATCAGTATGTTTTGAGTTACGAGGCTTGAAAGTTACGGTACCGCCGGCATTAGCATTACCCAAGATCGATTCGGCCAGTAAAGGCAAGACCCAAGATCTAACAATGGGTTACATTTACGCCAATGCTTGTGCGCTAATCTACGTTTACACTTACGTCTTTGCCGTAAGCTGTTACGTTGCTTTGTGCTCTGACCCTTATACTATGGTATCTGTTTCACGTGTCGAAGGTGCGCTTCATTGGCCATCGCGATGTATGACGTACTCTTGTCGGAAATGATCGACAATAATGACGCATCGAATAAATCGTCGAAAGAGAAGACTCGCGTAGAAAATGGATCGAAGAGTGAGTGACAAGTTGCAAATAAACATGACGACTGCAGATAACTTTAATAAAATCAATGCTCCGTGTAATATGTTGTATGTGTCTGGGACAGTATTAATATTAATATATGTGTGAACTGTTTCCCCTACGCTATCGATGAAAATTTAACGGCAATTTCCGATGGAAATTAAAAGCGATCGAGTCGCGACTGGATTTCAGGATAATCCTTCGAAAGAGCGAATACATTCCATTAACTAAATGGAAATTTCTTAAATTCTCTCTCGCATTATCCACGCGAGCGTCGCGTTGCGTTTCCAGCCACATTGCGATTCTATTTTCTGATAAATACGTTCGCGTTACACTTGCAGGATCCCGACAAGGGCACGCAGCTTCATCTGGGCATTAACCACTGTGGGATCCTGACGTTTCAAGACTCACGGAAGATACAGCATTTCCGCTGGTCGGAAGTTCAGAAGATCAATTTCGAAGGAAAGATGTTTATCGTGCATGTGACGATAAACGAGGTAAGCGTATTTGTTGCTGGCCGGATACCGTGATATGTCGAACGAAAACGGAGATAGAACGCTGCGCAATCTTCCACATATCTAACAATAATCAAAGTTTCCCATTAAATTTTTATGCATATACTACGTTACGTAAAAGAATTTCGTAACATTATGATTTAATTGCTAAAAAAACTAAGGCGCATTAAAACACATTGTACGGAGAATACAAGCGTGAGAATAACATGAGTAAGACGTAGCTTTAATTAGTCTAAATGTATCTGTAATGCATTGCATGAAATCCAACGAAGGCTTTTAAGACTGAGCTTAGGTCGTCCTATTTGTGCACAGAAAAAAGAATATTCTTCTTTTGAAAATATGTTTACCTTCAACGTGAAAATCTTGAAATGAGATTACGTAAAAGAGTAAGACTGTAATATTGTTGGAATGTAAGATTATTTAATACTTTTAAGAAGATCAGAGGTTGTTTTGTATGTACAAAACAATATACACGTTAGCTATATTGTTGGAATGTAAGATTATTAAATGTTCAATCTGATATCTCGTCCAACACACATCTCTCGATACTTTTACTTGTATTTAATAATTAACAATGCAACTTCAATTGGCTTTGCACTCCTCAACCAAAGAGTGCAGTCATTTTTTTACTAATATCTTACCAACATAACGATATTGGCCGAACGAACGATATGAGATGATTAACAATTGTGTAAACAGATTACTTGAAAAGGGTCCAAATCTAGGACCGAAACTTCGTTTTTTTTTTAAATAAAAACATTGACCAGTGTAGTCGTTTTAAAAAATACACATAATTAATTATTAAATGCTTCTAAGAAGATTGTAGATTGTTGCGTATATACAAAACAATGTACACGTTAATTGGAGTATATAAGAGTTGATTTTTTTCTGTGCCGTACTCGTACGACTTTAAATGTTAGACGCTAACAAAACCTTTGTCGCGTTAAAAAAGCTGCTCGTCGGAATTATTTAACCACGGCGATTTTCTCGCATCACGTTACGCAAGTTCGGACCTTCGAGCCCTTGAAAACAACTTGTTTTATCTCGACAGTTTCTAATTACGAACACTGTACCCTACTATGTTACGATAATCGCACGTGAAAATGCGCGCGCTCTCCTTCGTGCATGCCTCGCTCGCGTGCAGCGTATGCGTGCGGTATGTGCATGTGACGTCAGACGCTACGTGATTGTATAAGTTAAGTAATTCTATTATTTCTCTCTGCTGGACTCGCGCAGGACGTGAGGACGAAGGTGAGTCAGAGAGCGATTTTAATCGCTGGATTTAATATTATGGAATTTAATTGTTACGAGATCGGTGTAGAAAAATCAGAGGAACACGTCGAAGAAAAAAAAACCCCCCAGATGACTCGAAACGATTTCTCTGCATGTTTGTACGATCCGGTTATCAAAGTATGGTATAATACAGATGCTTTTAGGAGATGCGTATCTCGTGACTTATACGTTACCTTGCAAATAATAAATCTTTCTTATCTCACGAACCCCCTTGCCTTCGCACAATTTTCCGTTGCTCATAAAATCACGAATAAAACGGCCGTCTTTGTCGCTTTGAAAGCGTACATTTTTTCGCGATATCCGTCTCATTTTCTAATTGGAAATTTCGACGACGAAACTTGGCGCGTTTCCTGTTCTCCGAGCTGATAATATTCATGCATACGTGTCTCGTTCTAGTTCGCGGCCGCAAAAACGCGACGTGACAGTGCAGTATTCTCGAGCAAGTGATTGTCATCGTGCAATCGTTAGAGAATATCGTCGTCGATTGTTGGAACAAGTTTCGGTGTTAAAGTTCATCTACTTCTCTCACTTATTTATTTGGCCGAGAAAGCAAATATGATCTTTGTCGACTTTATTCTGCGGATATTTGCTCGCATAGTACAATACAACGCCAAGATAGGATATTTCTCGAGCGTCTTCGTATTTGCAATTTTCAGAAAAAGCATCTCGTCGGGTTCAAATGTCCCACGGCAACGAACTGTCGTCACGTGTGGAGATGCGCCATCGAGCAGATGCTGTTTTTTACGTGAGTACTCCTTTTACTCGTGTTTCCCCTAAAAGCACGTATGAGATTTACCGTGTTTTACATCGCATGGCATTTCCACTGCTTACGAAGAAGCTTTCATCCATTCGCGCGTCCTCACGGTGTTCTGCTACGCAAATTCCTATACGTTAACGATTCAAATGCGCGCGGAAGAAAGGCTTGCACTTTGAATAAATAAAAGTATTTCTTATTTTATAATACTTTTGATTTTCGAGGTTTCTGTGCACGATGCTGCATACAACAGACTATTTGACACGAAAACGGACCTATCTTTTGCCTGCGTGAAAATTTAATAACGACCGGTCACTCGCAGATCTTCAGTTTTCCATATTTAGGTTGAAAGTTTGTTGAAGCGAAGTCTGCAAAATGTCTTCCGGCGCATTTTCGCATTTTGGCCACGCCATACGTGCGGTGCTTCTCCGAAATTTCCGAGATAAGTAATTGGACGAAGGCCGTAAAAGTGGCTCCGGCGCTGCTGTAAAAGATGCATTCGATCCCCGGAAATATCGCTAGCACTTACATGCGCGGTTTATCGTTACCATCGCGCGGCCAAATTTTATGTTTCCACCACGAGCATCGATGGACGCCTAAGGCGAGCGGTTTTACCTGCGGACGATCGTTTCGGCGACGAGCGTGTCGTCTTAATTCGTACGCGGTGTATTTGTATGTATGTGCGCAGCACATCATCGCAACCTTACGAACGTCAGTTAAGTGGCGAGACTAAAGTGAATATCTCCATACAGTAATTGGACGCAGTTCTGCAATGCGGGACCAACTCCAAAGTCATAGTTTTCCTCTGGAATGAATTTCGCGAGATATTAGAAATAAAATTCTGCGCCAACATTATTTCAGATACAATGGTGCCGAACTATAATCCTCCTCAAATACAGTTCCATACGTTATTTCGCGCGTTCTTTATAGATAAGAATTGGGTCATTTGATACGCCATAGACCTTCATGATCACTTTGCAATATAAAACTAAAAATAACGAAAATAGCGCTTGGTTTCTTACCGCATAGCTGCATCCAATTGTCGAGTTTGATAAGAAAGTTGTTTCGCTTCGTCATTCGTCAAATATCGTTCCATATGCGTTTCAATCAATTTTATTGTCGCTAGTCGCATAAGCACAACGGTATTATTTATGAACAAACGTATCGTCGATGATAACGCGATTTCGAATTAAACTTGAGCGTTCGCGCTATTTTAAAAGTTATACGTTAAAACAATTAAATTTATATTTTTCATGATAAAGAGCTGATTCCACTTCTCGAAATGTTGTAAAAGTGGGATCGTTAAATCTGTTCGGCATAATCTGCTCTGAGGATGTCAAGTTCCATCGAAATGAAGTTTTCGTGATTATAATAAACGGAGGAATTAAAGGGTTATTGGAGGGATGCATGTACGTTTCAATCAATTTTATAGTCGCAAGTCGCATAAGCACAACGGTATTATTTATGAACAAACGTATCGTCGATGATAACACGATTTCGAATTAAACTTGAGCGTTCGCGCTACTTTAAAAGTTACGTTAAAACAATTAAATTTGTATTTTTCATAGTAAAGAGCTGATTCCACTTCTCGAAATGTTGTGGAAAAAAGGGATCGTTAAATCTGTCCGGCATAATGTACTCTATGAGGATGTCAAGTTCCATCGAAATGAAGATTTCGTGATTACAATAAACGGAGGAATTAAAGGGTTATTGGAGAGATGCACGCAATCTTAACATTGGTCATGTTTATTCGCGATGAAGAGATATGTACTTATCGGAGGGTCTCGAGTGCACATTAGAAATGGTAAACGAGTCAAAATCACTCATGGTTAATGACCGTTGTCTCGTCGCGGTAATTTGGCTGTCATCCAGATGATTAAAGTACAGTTACAACGTTGATGCCTGCCGTGAGATAACATATGCGACAGAAATTCAATCTGTGCCGTTTCAGCTTTGAATGTCAACTTTTTCTAATTGTAAGAAAATTAATTGACGACACATTGTACGGAGAAGTACAACAATTTACGAAAAGGATTGTCACATCCGTTAAAGCTGCCAGGTATCAAACGCGAAAAACGGTTAGAGACAATCTAATCGACTGGATAGAAGTATTACCCAGGAGGAAGCGAATTCCTGCGGGTCACCGAAATTCGGGGAGTCAGCCACAGCGGCGAACGCGACGATTTCGATTGCGGGACCAGCGCAGTCCCGAGTTAGTTCCGCTCGGCGAATTTATGCGGGCATAAATCCTCCGCGCTTAGTTGGATTCCGGCGCGGGCGAAGGCCTATTCTCGATACTCGCCATCTTTTCGCGCTGGAAATTTTAGTTTAGCGACCCGGAGGAGCCGATCACTCGCTTCTGACGACGTGTTCTCGTCGAGCGAGCCTTAGAAGAGACGCGTTCATAAGCCTTTTATCGCGATGGTAGTTCGCTGCGAATCTAGAGGAAAGCCCTCTATTATGAGATAGGATTCTAATGTGAGATAGCAGGTTTTCAACGTCCAAATTCAATCGCAAATCTTTTTCGCAACGATTACGCGATCTAACCATCAATTTTCCACTAAACAGAGATTTCGCTCCAAGGACAATAAATTCATGAACGATGACTCCTCTATCTCATAATCAGGGACTTTCCTCTATATATAATTGCTGGGTTACCAATTGTGCAAAAGCGTAGGCCGAGTAATTTTTAACGACTCTACTGTGCGCAGCTTGCCGAGGGCGTCGGACGCGCCGGTCGTGAGTGGCGGTTCCATCTTCTCGTGGGGATACAAGTTTAAATATACCGGAAGAACGGAAAGGGAGGTTCTGGAGGAGGCAGGACCACTGCGGAAGGAGGAACCGCCGATACAACGCTGCCAGACAACGTGTTTGAGAAGAAAGGCCAGCAGCGTGCCGGCAACCCCCAGCACGCCGAGCCAGGATCTCGTCGAAATACGTGAGCAATTTTTTTTTACCACCATGTAATTTGCATACGGTGTCGTTTTTCCTTCTTCGTTTTTTGGTAGTCTATGCTAACAGATGCGACCCTAGTAGCACAGTGCATTGGCTGAACATTGGTCCAATGTCGGTTATATTAGAAATGCATTGGCCGATATTGTCCAACGCAAAGCCAATATCGGCCGTGGAATAAACGTAAATATTGCACGATAATAGTTATATAATACTAGATTTATATTGGAAGTCCATCGGCCAATATTTAACAATGTAATAAAAATATTGGTCTAATATTGATACAGTATTAGACCGATATTGCTAAATGGACATATTGGCTAAATAATTCTCCAAAAGTCAATCAGTGGATTACCACTGAGAACATTGAATAGCCACTAATTCGCAGTTACACGTATACCACTGAAAATCGCAGTGGTATACTTATAACTGTAAATCAATGAGAGAGAAGAGAAGGCGCCCGTCTTACAGTTGGACCAATATTGGGAATACTGGATCTACATTATTTCCCAGTATTGCGCCAATATATTGTGCTGCTAGGGGAGGCACACACTTTCCTGTAGAATAATAGAAATTCAGGCAGACTTGGGATTTCGTCGAAGATTAATTACCGCGATTTTATATAGCGGCGAGATTTCGAGTTTCCATAAAATTGAAAGACATCACGAGGTAATTGAAATGCAAACTTAATGCATGAACCGCGTACAATAGCTTTCTCTTCCTCGCGTTTCAGGATATTCTAGCTTACCACGTAGCTGTCACAGCGCGGGCCTGGACGGTACCGGGATGCTGGAGGGCGGTGCGGGGGTTCCCCTCAGCTCGCCCTACTGCCCAGACAATACCTTGCCCCTTCTGGAGACTGTATCCGAGGACCAAGAGATTCACGCCAGGAGAAACAACGGTTAGTCAGCGGCCGTGATAACGGTCGTCTTTTCTCTCTCTCTCTCTCTCTCTCTCTCTCTCTCTCTCTCTCTCTCTCTCTCTCTCTCTCTTTCTTTTTCTCCATCTCTCTCTCTCTCTCTCTCTCTCTCTCTTTCTCTCTTTCTCCCGTTCGAAACATTGGATTCCCTAATCTCGTTCAGCCTCCCGACCCATTCGAGTCCATCGCCGCGACGCATGTGTACACGACAATGAAAGCAGCGATATACTAACCCGTCGAAAGCTCACGTGAAGCTCGTACTCAAGTTCTTTAAAGGAGAAACGTCTATTCTTAGTCAGATATCAACGGTCGAATCGGTAGTTGTTAAGGTACTTTAGTGGAAAAACGTTTAGTGTCTTTGATAGAAACTAGTGCATGACGAGGCGTATAATGCGGAATAACATGCGGAACCTTGCTCTTCTCAGAAAGCAAAGTAATCTTTCGATACCTCGGCGGATCCGAAATTAAGTACTCTTATACCCGAGAAGGGCGAAAGACGAACAGAGAAAATTTAATAACTATACATTATCTAAAGGAATAAACTTGAAACATAAGAATTGAAGTAAATCGAGTCGCCGTCCGCTCGCATCGCCCGCTAAATCTCGAGGAGTAAACGTCGTGCCTCGATGACGTTCGTTACGGTCCTTCCTTTGCGGGACCGCTGCGCCGCCGTCGCTGCCGCCGCCGTCGCCGTCGCCGCCGCCGCCGCCGCCGCTTCTTTGGCTTTTTAGAACCTTCGGTTGATTTGTTTTTTCCTTTTCTTTCTGTTCTTTTAGCCGTAGACGAAAATGATACGCATGCGAGTGCCACCCACACGTCTACTACTACCATCACCACCACCACTACCACCATCACCACCTCCAACACCATCACCACAAACCGTGCGAAAGCCAAACTGAAATTTCCCAAGAGCACGCTGAACCGACCGCAACCGTTGTACAGTCAGAAAATAGTGATAGGCTCGCAGGAGCTGGCGGGCCACGACGTCAAGCACGTCGTGCGGCAGCGCATTAACGCCTTGATTAACGAGCGATGCCCGATGGTGGTGCGGTCGACCGCCCTGATAATCAAGAGCTCCAAGGCGCCGGCGAGCGCAAACGGACGCATCCCTGTCAAAAGCGTGCGCTACGCGCAAGACGAGGTCCACCACGGTAGAACGCGGGTAGAGGTAAGCGAGATCGACGGCGAGGTAGGCCGCGGATCGACGACGACGAAGACCGCCAACGGTTGCGCGAATCTGGCCGCGAGGCCGGGACTGTCGAATGGATTCGATCGCTCGGCGCGACGGGAGGCCGGGGAGGCAGCAGGTAAGCGCCTACTAGAAGACCCTACTAGGACGATGAAAACGTCAAACGTTCTCTCCACCTCTCCGCTCCTCTGTCTTTTCCTATGTCTCAGTCGCCTATTACTTCGCCTCTCCCATACTCCCGTACTCCCGTGCTCCCGTACTCCCGTACTGCGTGTACGTCGTTGGAGTTGGACTCTGCTTTGTTACCTTGCCTCTTCCTTTATGTTACGCTTCGACTATTGCGGTCTGCATGGGCTTGCGCCTGTTAACGTGTACAAATCGACACATTGCCCCGCTGGATCCGCCAGATATTTTACGAGATACCTCGACCGTCGTGCTTGCCAATTTGGCCATTGGATAGACCGGCTCTTCGGGAGTTCCGAATATGACTTATGACTCGCTGAAAGATTCCAGTTGCATAGTCAAATCCCGAGCACGATGGTCGCACGCAAATCGCGAAAGTAAACGACAGCAATTACGAGAGAGTACGATGATTGCGAAAGTGCACGCGTATACGTGAATTCACGTGAAGCAGTCGTCTGTCGATCTCCTCTGTAGGATCGTCCATTCGTCGAGATTGATCTAACTTTCACCCAAATGAGCCACCGAGAAACCTTTTGCGTCATTTTTTCAACGAAATATGAACGAAGACGTAAAACTTTTCTAACGTTTCTTTCCAAATTTGTCCAACACAATTTTCTATGATTTTATCACGCAAGTAATATCTTTCTTAGATACAGAAATTATTTATTGCATTTTTTTGCGTCTTGACTCTCATACCTTTCGTGTTTTATATAGCTTTCGAGAATGAAAAGCAAAGGAAACGTTGGCTCGAAAATGGAAGTAAGTTGTTGCAAATAAAAGAATTGTTTCCCAATCAGTTGACTTTGTAGTATCGTAAAAAGACCCTGCTAGCTCTACGAATGCGATCCTCAAACTTTGAAGCGAGACCGTCAGAGAGCCTCCGCACTTGTCTTCGTCCCTTACGAGTCGCTCGCTAACGCAGTCGTCCAATAGCATTCATCGATCGCGTCCTTTCTGTTTCAGTCGGTCAGCACGAGGGCGAGGCGAACGATTACTACTTCAGGGACTCCTTCGACCACTCCTCGTCGGAGAGCCAGCTGTTGGATGCGTCCGGCAAGCCGCACAGTCGTTCGGTCACGCCGGTACCGAAGATGCAGAAGCTGCAAAATTCCAAGCTTTGCCTTCAGCAGCAGCATCATCATCAGGGCGTTCGGCGCGCGGCGAGCGGCAAGCTCAGGCACAGGAGTCTGCATGTGATCAGGATCTTTATACCGGCGTTCATGCTGACGATCACGGTGCTGTTCATCGTGACGGTATTGGTGTTCGAGACGGACACGACGCTGTTCAACAGCCTGCGCAAAACGCCGGAAATGGTGGCCTTAAGGAGCCAATATTACGTTCCGATCAAGGAGTTCCTGCGGACCAAGCTCGGCCTATTCTGATGTGACAAGACCGGGCCGAGGTCGTCCTACGTCATCGCGTAGCTCGCTCTCCCTTCAGTGCCAAGTTGCCAGGACGAACTCGTGACTGAGAGAATCTACGGCCCACAAGTCGCGGAGAAGAGAACGTGCGCCTCTTTATCCCTGTCCCTCCCGTCCCTGCCTCCCTGCCCCCCCGTTGCGTTGCGCACCGTCGCGTCGCAGCTTGGTCGCACGAGCGTGAGTGCTTCGAACCGAGAAGACCGAGTGCTACCGGAAGCAGAAGAAACGAGGGAAGGGGAGAGATGAGAAGCATCGCGTTGAAGGGATTAACCGAGGTCGGAATCTCGCACACACTTACGCGCAAGGAACGCGTTCTAATTCGATCGATGGGAAATCAGAATTCTGTATAAAAGAAGAAACTGTACAAAGGTTGTATTTAATCGGGACGTGAGCGGGATGTATGTATAAAATTGTGTTTATGCGTTCCATTTTATCCGTAATTGCTTATTGTTTTTACGAAGAGCGTTCTATTTCCCCCACGCGATTTTATTTCCCTGATTTCTCATTACTTATTTCCCGCTGCTGACTTTGGCAGGATACGGATCCACAAAACCGATATATTTATCTTGCAGATAGTACTAACAACAAGTTCCCTCAGTTTTCCTTATGAAATAATATTTCGCGGAAAATATAAATCTCAATTATAGTAGAATATAATTATTTAATAAACAATATTAATAATTGATTTATTAAATAGTAAATTCTAATATTTCTGTGTACAGTTGCAATATGATCAAGGAAAAATCTTTTGAATGAATCATTCATTTTAAAATGACATTGGTCCAATCTTTGAAAACTTATAATAAATATTTTGCATGAAATTGGATAGTTGGATCTCGCGTTGATTGCGTTACAATATCTTATTCATATTGTTATTTGAAAGAAAAAACAGATTGCAAATTTTGGCTATAAGAAACGCTCGATTTTGTTCGGTGCGGGTGATACCTACGCTCGGACGGACGTTATGTATACATACATAGTGAGAGATGTTGGTTATCGAATGGCCTATCGTGTTACTATGAAAAGAATGGGGACAGGAGTGCTCTTTCTCCGGATTTTCGTGAAACTTTTCCCGTGTGTCGCGGATACCACGAAGAGACGCCAAAAAATGCGCGCGTCGGTATAATAGACAAAGTAAAAATATTTTGACATTGTGAAGAGACGAAAGAAAGAGCATACACACACCCACACACACGCATACACGCACACAAAAGCGAATATGTAATATATTATACATATATACATATATATATATACACACACACATATACACACATACATATATATATACAAGTCACTGAAAAGGCGACGCTACTTATAGAGACTTTAGATTATTTTAAACCGTCAACGAAAAGCAATCGTTTCGTAGATAATCGTAGACTATATACGTGCAGCTCTAGTATGGAAATGGTGGAGGATATTGCGTGGCAGCGTTAAATTGACGAGGTCCCCCGCTGATTTCGATCCGCTGTCGGTTGTTTTGCGTTCTTACTCGGATGTGCAAGGGCCATAGTGCGCTTGATGTGCGTAATCAACTTTGTCTTGTCATCTTATTCTATCGCGAGAGTATAACATCCTTCATCGCAGCGTGTAAAATTCTTATTATAAATCTTAAGGACATGTCACTCTTGTGAAAGTCAGATCTGTCAGGACCTGCTCTTTCGCAGATACGTATTGTGTTTGATAAAATTCTATGAAACTTTGGGGGAATTTACTTTTTAATTCTCGCATCTTAATAGAGACAATTAAATCGAAAAGAAGCGAAACAGAGAATCAAAACAGATTGGACAATCATACAGCGCGTACGCGTTAATTTCCAATCATGAAGATAAATAACTGTGTACCTACGTAAATTCTAAAAAGGAACTCTTATTATTTAACTCGTTTTGCGGAAATGTAAAATGCAGTTTCCCAAAGTTTAACGTCATTATATGTATATTAAAGTACACACAACTTTTACTCATTTAACTGAATACTTTCGAGCAGGTTCTGATTCATCTTACACCTTAGACTGAATGTCCGCTCCAGCGTTTTACCACCGAAAGCGGCAAACTTTTATCGTCGATAGCAAAAATTTTCAAAGAAAATAGTCTGTGACTGTCTCGACTCTCCGTTAATCATAAAGTTGTACAGTTGACATTTGTTCTCGAGAAGAAGGGCTTTTAACTCTCGAGTGGACACGCAACCTCACTGTCAGCCATTTTTCCTAAAAGTGCCTACGCTGTCTTACACCCTTTCGTGTCATTCGATTCGCTCGAAATCCGCCCTAAGCTGAACGAAAATGAAGTGGCGCGAGGAAAAAGGTGAAACAGAAATTAAGCGAATTAATGAATCTCATGCCGACTCTTCGCGTCAAAGCTTTTGGCGGCGCTCTCCTGTCCGCGAGATCTGTTCATATCTCGGGTCGTTAATTCGTGACATTCTTGAGATCAATTCTGAAAGTCGAGTCTAAGGTGTTTCCGACGTAGATGAGAAGGCAAGTGTCGTCGAGAGAGTACAGACGGCTCTAGAAAATTAGAGCGGTAACTGTGCGAGACGCGGCACACTGCTGTTAATAAAGCAACGGAGGTTCGCGAGATTTCGGGCTTTCCCAGGTGGGCGATAACAAAAGCTCCTTTCTAGTCTATTATTAGCGTTGTCAGGGAAAGCGTGGGTTTCGGGCCAGCATGTACAGCCTCACAAGCTTCCGCGGCTTACTAATAAGCCGGCTGGGACGAGATTAGTTTAAATCAAAATTTCATTCGCATAAATTGGATAATGTAGACAAAGATTAATCCACGTGAGAAGATCACGTTTCGTTTGACGACCAAACGCTTTTCGTTAGGTCGTAGGAGCGGGAGAACGTCGCGAGCATCAAGCTAATTGTATAAATAAACGGATGTCAATTGCAATATAATGTAATTCTAGTTGTTAATTAAGGGTACCCGCACGCTGGGCCAATCAATGTAAAAAAAAAGACAAAGGAGAAAATTTAAGCGGAAACGATAAAGTTGGGATTGAAACGCGTAAAATTGATATGCTACTTCTTAATCCAAATCTGGATGATTCTACTTTACAAGCAATCTCGAATACTGATCGAAATCTGGATGATTGTACTCTACGAGAGTAATCTTTGAGAGTGAAATTATCCGATGGACATTGAATAAGAAAGAGAATCTCTTGCGATGCCACGTTCAATTTGTTATACTCTCCGAGGGTTGCTCTCCTATCGGCAAATATTCATAACTGAATTAATGCTGAATTTAGGGATTACAATGATACTCAAGAGTTTGCGCTTGAGAGGACTACTTTCTATTCCAAATACTCTCCCAGAAGCGTGTAATGTGATTGGAATTTGCAGTAATCACGAATCTCGATGGTTAAAAATCCCGCTTCGGAGAGTAAACCCTTCAAGTAGACACTCGGTCTAAAGTCCGAAGAACAGAAGAATGGACGATTGTTTGACGTGAGGGATGGAACGGGATATAATGTTGAGAGTTGAAGGTCGTCGGGACGTGGCATAGCCTCTGCGCGCGATACACCTTTCAGAACTTCCCCGGTAAAATTAAGTTATCATAGACGATACGCAGCTGTATATATAGGAAGGAGAAAGGTTCACTATATAACATTAAAACTGTTAAACGTTAGCGGATTATATGAACTTTGCGCAACGATCGAAAGCAGGCAATACACAGGGCGTGTCCGAAAGATAGAGGTATAATATGTTTTCAATAATTTAGATCTAGTTAATAACATAATAATTGGTAACGAATTTGGTACCAAACGTTATAATTAATAACAGTGCAATCTTAGCAGTCTTTAATTTGGGGATTTGGGAACTTGATTCATATCCAAATAGCTAATAATAGGTCGTAGATCGGTCTCTTGCGTTGAATTTTTAGTAAAGGGAGAACTCGAGATTTCTTTGGAGAACATGTAATCCTGTTATATGTATATTTTAAAAACGTACGATGTAGCTGCGCAGACGTGAAAGAAATTCAAAGTTAAAATATCTCCCCTTTATGATATCCGTAATATCGATAAGATTTTTGTATCATCAGTTGATCATTATTGCAAGCCGCGTTTCATCCTTGTTGTAAATTGATCGTAACGCGACGTACGAAACTGTAAACGACGGTAATCCTCAAATCAGGCTCTCGCGCGTTAGTTAACGAACGTTCTTCGTACCACTGTAAAATCCGAAATTGGTTTTCTCATTAAAATTCGTAACACACTTTTCTGGCACGCAATCGGTGATCGTACTTGATCGTACTCGATGCTGAACACGGCTATACGTCAATTGTTACTCTAATTACTTGATATCGCTGCCGAAATGTGCGGATCTTCATGTAAATGTACATCTAGCCTACTGCGTTACTTTTAATAGATCGAATTGTTGAGGTTCTCGGGATTAATTCGTCAGATATTTATTTGATAACTAACGGGTAAGTAATTTATTCGCTGTAGCTGCTACGTAAGTGAATTTCAACCGAACCTTTATACGGACGCGACTGCAGGAATAATTTAATAGAGGGCTAAATACTACGTTGTGTACAAATGTGACGGTGGATGTTGGGTGTAAATGCAATGTTAATTAAAAACGGCCGACGTGAAGACGAGAAGTGGAGCTCTGCGCTAATCAAAACGAAATAACGATGATAATCTTTCTACAATCTCCATTCGTATGTACACTTTTTGTACGCTTGCAAATTGTAGCGAACAGTTGTAGTCGTATGAGGGGTGCGTTTTTTTTTCCTGGTCTGTTAGTCCTTGAAATTTTGTATCGCATGCATGAATAAACAAAACATTTCATTGCAAACCCGCGAAACAAAATATTTAACAGGACACCATCCAGAGTACCGTATCTCTTCCTTCGGTCGAAGAAGTAAACGAGTCCCTGCGTTTTTCGGATAAAACATTGCTCGAATACTCAGTGAGAACACTAACGTCGAATCGACACCAATGGGATCTAAACCGCGTCCCAACCGCATCAGTTTTCGAAAATAATTAAAAGTATTGAAACTTTATTTTGTTTTGTATTAAATCACTACGTTCAACGTTCCGAATACTTTTAACACTTTATTGGAGAAGAACTGCCAAATTAACTTATTTAATACAGAATCTGATACAAAAAATAGTTCTCGCTGGGTATTAACTTTTGCAGTCTCTAAAATCAATTGTTTAAATTTCGCCGTAAAACGATCGTATAAATTAGCATATATAATTCTTGCCAATAAATAGTACGCTTGTTAAAAAATACGAGTAACATAATATTAACAGAGATACCAACGTTGACAGTCTAATCTAATCGGAAGATGATAACAAAAAATCGCCACAACGCCTTACTTAGTCACGCGTTCAGTTTAAAGGCGAAGATATCATTTCGTTAATATAACATCACGAATGCAACCACATAATGCGGCGTGCGTGATTCATCCTGTCGTGATTTCAGCAGTCGCAGTCTTCCGTTGATCCTCCCGTCGCTCGTGTACGCTCTAGACCCGATCTGCAATGAGTTGTTAGTCGTTAGTCAGAAGTCGGAACTATATGTCAATCCTTTTTCCTTCTGGATGAAAGAAAAAGGACCGACATACAGTTCTGACTTCTAACTAATGACTAACAATTCATCGTAGACCGAGCTTTACGCAAGGTTGGGAAGTAATTCGTTACTTGTAACGAAGTTACAGTTACTTTTTTTTGGTAACTCTAACTTAACTTTGTTACTTTCTCTCCGTCTGTAACCGTAACTTAACTCAGTTACATAAATAATTACTTTATATATTTTTTAAACCTCCACAGATCGCATTAGGCCTTGCATAAGCGCATCAACGCCTTTATCGACACTTAACAATTTAAATACAGATTTGATATTTTCATTTTTATCGCAAGAAAGTAACTGCAAAGTAACGATTCGTTACTTTTTAGAATTGGTAACTTTTAACTGTAACTAGATACTTTTATGAAGCAACTTCCAAACCTGGTTTTACAGATCCTTCCCTCTAAATGTTTTGGAGTGAAATATTCACTCGAATCATGGTGTCACTGACCGTTTCACTCTATTTGAGTGAATATTTACTCCAATAGAGTGAATCAATTCAAGACAAAAAGTGAAGAATTTCGCTCTTATTTTTAAAGTCGAAGTCGTTAGCGCTCCAGAATTCGCTCCAACTTAAAGTACGGTATAAGTTAAGGACGCGGACAGTTTTTACGAAGGGCCTCGCGAGATATTAATATCCTGACGCAGAGCTAAAATCACCGCGGGAATCGGGAGACTGCGTCTCGCAGAGACGCACGAAACTGGGACGAGTTCATCTGTGGAAAGTGAATTAACAGCGGCCTTGGATTAACGCAACTCGGCAATCTCGTGGAACAGGCGATACGTGGGCTACACCTGCCCGTGAAAGGAGCGTACTGCCTGCTATTGATGTTTCGCTAGGACCTAATACCGGAACGGCCATCGGCGCTCGTTATCGCGACGTGTATACAAACATCAATAAGTACCTAGTCAACTTTCACGTCGATATGTATGCCGATTTCCCCTCTCGGCCGTTGTTACCTCGACGCGCGGCACTAACAAATCAAAATTAGCAAACGCGACTCGTTCCCATTTCTACCATTGCAGATTAACCCGTTGAAGCCCGGTGTAACATTACGTATGCTACACTTCCTGAAATTAAAAAAAAACCCACGCTTCTTCCACTTCGTGTCTAGGTTTTTGGTTTGCTGATTCTGAAGTCGAAATTGTAAAATTATCGACGATTAACTCAATATAGCAGCTCAAGGTTAAAGTTTCAATTGAAAAATTTTGTTTTCTATAAGAGAGATATTCTGTAGTCTAAAAATTAAATTCCTATAAACGACATTCCGAAAGTAGGTATCCGGGAGTTTTTGAGATCACTGATTTCTAATCGAAAGTCAAAATTTGAAAATCCAAGCATGGCGAATCCAATATAGAAAGTCAAAATTGCAAAGTACGCAGTCGATTTATCAGGAACTCGGTACTCGGGAGTTTTCCAGGTTGCTGATTATACATAGGTACGAAGTCAGATTTACAAAATTCATAATGGCGGATCCAACCAGGCGCTCTGCATTTGAATTTTGTAATTCCGACACCAGAATCGTAATCAACAATCCAAAAAACGTCTGAGTATTAAGTTTCAGAAAAAATCGGCAGAAAGAAAAAATGTATCTTCAAAAGGTTAACATTAATCCCAGTTTAACAAAATTTTTCTCTTTCTCCAATTCCAATGGAAATAGACGTCAGTACGTAGAGCCTCGCAGCTCTCGCGACTTGTGGTTCCTTAAATTCGCGATTTTTCACAGCGTGTATTTTAAAATAAACAACGACTGCTTAAGGAATTCAGGCTTCGTCCTTAAAAGATATTTACAAATTTCTTCTTTTCACATAGTCCCAGCGAGAAGTGGCTCTCGATCGTCGATCGGATTTCTCCCTCGGGTTTGAACCCTCCAGGTAAGGGGCCTGAGAAGGGCCCTTAATCCCTAGGCCCTTCGTCCTGTAGGGATTTTTCAGCTCGAACTTGACGAGGGAGAGTCACGGGGAGCGTCGGCAGGTCTGCGCTCCTAAGGGTTAATCCGACGAGTATCGTCACGAAGCAGGGAAGATTGACGCAGCCGGTCGTGCGTCCCGGCGTTTGAGAGATCTACAAAAGTGGAGTCGATCGGTCGTATGACACGGCAAAACTCAGCGGTAATTGAACGCTTCTAAAATTATGCACGCGACGGGAGGATAACTCGAGACGCGCGGCGTCCAGATTCTCCCGTCGCGCCTCTTACAAAGGCAGCGTGCGTCCCGGTACCCGGTGCCCCGTGACTCACCGCGGCCGTTCAGTTCAGTCCGCGACGGACCACGAAGCCGTCGACATCGAGCGTGTGTGTGCGTGCGCCCGCGTACGGATGCGTGCGTCTTCCGGCCCCGACGTGTCATTTAAACGCGGACCTGCTCGACCGATCGGCGTTCGTCTTCGACGTGTCACGTGCATCGTTTGTGACAGCGACATGACTCGGAGCGGTTGAGGCTCTCGCGTGGTTGACGTTACCTGGTGACAACTTCAGTGAAGCTTCTCTCTCGATTTCAACATGGTAATTGAAATTATTCAATCAAACAAGCGAAACTGTGCATGTTTTTCGTCCGAGAAGAAACCGGCGCGCAGTACAGGTGGAAAAACGGTATAAGAATCCACATATTCAAGATTATTCGGCTAGCTACATCCCATTTGGACCTAATAGGCTTCTAGTTTCTTGTGTTTTTTAAATGTTTTTAGATAATTGAAACGTGTCGGAAATGTCAAGGATAAATGGAATGTGTTTCGAAGAGAGAATCGTATTGCCGTCCTATTAAAATAAGCGATGAAAATTCTCCTGTTATTGAGAAGCATATTTATGGTGTTTTCAAGTGTTTTGTTCATTTACTTTCCACAAGGCTACGCGACGGAGTAAATATAAAGAGATCACAATTGTCCAAATGTCATTACTGCGTTAAAGGAATGTGTCTCGTGTCGCGGTATAAAATTATGAGACCCTGTTGGGCCTCGAATATAAATATATGCGTTCTGTCATACTCGATCTGACCTCGGGGTAAACTTTAAATTCAGACCAGATTCTATCGCGTCGCTTTGACTCGTGGATCGTGAATAATGCAGTGTCTTGTAGTCGAGTGACGTCAGAAATGTCTCCCCATCAAAGTTTCTTACCTTCGGCACAAGTATATTTATTAAATGATATCTTTATAAAAAGAATTTTTTTTTAATGAATCAACTCAACCGTACGTAAGTCTTTGTATCTATTGCACAAAGCGGACATACGGCGGTAAAGTAGAATATTATAAAATTAGAATCGCAAAGGTCGATCCTGCGTAGAAGGAAGAAGCGGACGAGGGATCGCGGGAGTCGCTCGTAGGTTTCGTGATCTTGGCGTGATCTTCGTGTCGCGAGTGCGGTCTCCTCCGCGTCCCGCCTTTCTTTGTCTCGTGATCCGTGAACGGGAAGTGATTCATTTTCTCATGGCTCAAAGGCGATGGCAAAGACTAAAATGCCCCACCGTCGAACGTGATGCAGGAAACACTTTCTTGAAGCAAGGACGATTGATTGTCCTCGTTAATCAAAGCGCGACCTTTGCAGAAGCGCAGCGGCGTTACGTTTTTCATCACTCGCGAGTCGGGGAAGATATTAGAGGCGACCCTTGCAATTAATTGGAGACCAGTCATTATCCTATTTTACATCGAACGCCGTTATTATATCACGCGCGAGAATCTCGCCGCGTAAATCGCCCTCGAGAGAGAAAATAGCTGTGCCGATGACGTACTTGATATACGGATCGGTGAGCGATCGTTTCCAGGAAATCCATTAATCATCAAAGTTCCGGATTTTCTAAATCGTCTAGCGGCATCTCGCAAATCGCCAGAGTATCTCAACGATCTCGACATTTTAACATTTTAATACTCCTAATTTGTACCTTTCACGAATAATTGGTGGAGATTCGACCGAAAATTTGGTTCATTTTCCATACTCTCTAAAGTTTTTGGAGTGAAAATAGAACCATGGAGTGAAACGTTCATTCTATTGGAGCAAATCTTTACTCTATTAGAATGAATATTTACTCCAATAGAGCGAATATTTCACTCTATGGTTCTATTTTCACTCCAAAAACTTTAGAGAGTAAATTTTTAATGCCTTTGACATCGGTAGTCTCAATGGAGCGCGTACGATTTGAAGACTTAAACGCGCGCTGTCACACGGCAAAAGTACACTCTTAAACGTGCACCGCCAAAAATTGAAGGTACACGTTAAAATGAAAAGTACACGTAATTATGAGCTTTACATAAAAATCCACCAAAGTAGGAGGGAAGATAGCACCTCGAAATTGAGAGTGTCTTGTTTACATGTCTTGTTGGTGGATGCCCACAATATAGACATAAAACGGAAGATCGATCCACATTGTGTAATTTGCGAATGTACTCTGTGTGAAAAATGCCTCGAATATTTATGTTACAAAACGCGTCCATAATGCATGTAGTAATATGCACTTCGTGTCTTTAGCCGACGCGATCACGCAAGTGTGGCACGACGAAGGGAAGATAATGACAAAAGCTATCTCTCATTGGTATGGAGGCAGGCGTTTGGAGGTGCATCGTACCTCGTACTACTTTAGAAGGTGCGTACGGGAACCACCTGTACCTTCTAAAAAATGTACCGTGAATTTATAGACGATACCTCGAGCGGTACCTCCAGCTGATCGTTACATATTCATTGTTACCTCATATATCTTGCACCTCGTGCTAATATACCGGGAAAAATATCTTCTATCGGCATGCAACTCAAATCTCAATTATACTTAAAAAATTGTACTGTCATCCCTCCTATTTTGGTGGATTTTTATGTACCTCACCCAAGTCAAAATTTTGCTACTATTTTGACAAGGATAATTTACACCTATCTTAACTGATCTATACACCTACATAGACCAGGAATAACCTTCGATGACATTATATTTTTTACTCCTCCCTTGAATCTTTTAAAATTTACTTTAACTCCTACTTTAATGCTAAATTGGTAAAGTAGACATTTCCAACACTATCAGTTTTAAAGTAGGAATAAATTTTGTACTTGCAGTTCGACCTCTTTTACTTACTATATAATAGAATTAAAGATTCAACATAGGGCCAAAATTTCGACTCTGGCATAATTACGTATCCTTTTTAAAATTTACTTTAACTCCTACTTAAAAGGACCTACTTTAATGCTAAATTGGTAAAAGTAGAAATTTCCGACACTATCAGTTTTTAAGTAGGAGTAAATTTTGTACTTACAGCTCGACCTCTTTCACCTACTATATAATAGAATCAAAGGTTCAAACTAGGACCAAAATTTCGACTTGGGCATAATTACGTATACTTTTTATTTTAACGCGTACCTAGAATATGGCGGTACTACGCGATACAAGATTAAGAGTGTACGGATGCTACGCGACGCGACGATCGGTATCCCCGATACAATACGCACGCTACGATCGCTTGCTAATAAATTTACAAAACAAGATTATGCGGCATTGCACCTCGCGCCTGCTCGGTGAGTCACGTTTTTCGCGGTGGACTTTAACAGGTTCGTTGAACTAGTTCGCGCCTTTTTCTCTCCTTCCCTGCTCCCCTCACTTTCGTGAGGTAGACATCTCGACGAGAGGCATTCGTAGGCGATCTCTATTTGGCTCGAACGGTTAAAGGAACGATTTGCCGTCACACGATCGCCATGCTTATTGAACGTCGTCAACTGTATAAGTGCATCTCGGCCTGAATGTCGTCGACAAGTGCATTGGCGACTGCCGTGGACGGATTTGAAGGAAAATCTTCAACTTTACAATGACATTTCCAAACTGTCTACATTTCTTGATCCGTGCCGTGCATCGTTTCCAGTGCAAACGATAGTTTGACGAATATGTCCGCGGAAAAAGCTGTGCGTTATCGATTTATTAGAATAGATATTCGCCATGGTGATGCAACGCCCTTTTTCTAAGGCTAATATTACATTTGTCGTGCGACAAATTTTTCAAGCGCGTCGACTGGCTGCAGAATAGAAAGAGTCTCGAGTATCTAGAAATTTTCCATTCCACAGCCAATCGACACGCTTGAAAAGTTTGTCGTACAACAAATGTAATAGTACCCTAATGCCCGTTCTACACCTAGGGATGATCCTACTTGTGGCTTATCCGAGGGAGTAATATAAAGTGTAAAAGGGTACACTGCGATTGGTTTCCGATCGTACCAATCCAAAAATTTTCAAAAATTTCCCTATGCATATGTTTATGTGTTATACAAATTTGTTTTTTTTTTACCTTTTGCAGTGAACGACTTCAATGAATTTGTCTCGCAACTTCTGCCTGTAAGATCTAACGTCTGTAAGATCTAGCCTGATCAAAACATTTTTGGGTTGATGCGTCGGTACGATTGGAAACCACCCGCAGTGTACACTTTATACCACTCCCTAGGATAAACCGCAAGGGTAGGATTATCTTTAGGTATAGAAGGGGCATCTCGGATGAGTCACAAGTAGGATCGTCCCTAGGTGTAGGACGGGCATAAGGACGAGCCACGAGTAGGATCATCCAAAGATGTAAATAGATAGACGGGCAATAATCGCCGTATTTATGGACTCGGATGTCATTTCTGCATAAAAAGACGATTGAAAATCCTAGTATCAAATCGTAAAAAAGTCATACTGTAGTGTGATGGACGTGCTAAAAAAAAAACCCGTGTAAACTTCTCGACTCGGATGAGCCACGAGCAGGACCATCCTTGGTGTAGAAAGGGCATAAGAATCCGGATATGCTCGCAATAACACTGATGTATCCGCAATTCCTTCCAATTTTCATGGCGATTGCGAGCCAGCGTATCCGATAGTTCCATTCATGAGACAAAATCCTCTCCAATTGCAGCTATCTAATGGATCATCTCCTATTCTGGAAATCAGAGCGATCGTAACGGTGCAAAGTAGAGAGAAGGAGAGAAAGGGAGAGGAGAAGAGAGAGAGAGAGAGAGAGAGAGAGAGAGAGGGGAATCGTCGCTGATGCGTGTAATGACGTGTCTTAAAGCTCTCCTCGATAAAGTATGCGTATCGGTAACCTCCGTACCTTCTGAGAACACTTTTACAACTGTTATTATGCGCTGGGAATTTTACGGTTGTGCACATTGCGTACACCGACCGATATATAGCGAGGTATCCTGTTAGGATTTGCGTTTACGTTACTTCTGCGGCGTAAGAATCGATAAACATTTATTTAAAGAAGCGCCACTGGGGGGAGAGATTTATCAAGGGGCAAGAGAATTGGTATTTATCAAGAGAGAGAGAGAGAGAGAGAGAGAGAAAGAGCGCGCTAATAAAACTCTCAGTTTCTCTCCTTTTATAACAACACGTGTCGCACGGTAAGTCGCGCGAGCAGAATTGAATCGATTATTTCAACTCAATTCAATTAGAGGCGACTGTAAAGTGACGTGCGCGGCGCGCTCAATCTCTATTCTCGATCGCTCGTCAAAATTTCGTGGCGGCGACTATCGCCAAAGAGAAGAGAGAAAGAGAGATCGTTATCACGGACCGCCGGTTAGGCAACGCGTTATCGGAGGCGTGCAAATACGAGTCTAGCGGGATGATAACGCGTGCACGCACACGTCCTTGCGTCGCGTGCTTATAATCGCGGCACTGTTAATCGTTCCGAAGAATGCAAGCGCGCGGTGACAAGGCCAAGGGACGCGTGTGCTCGGCTCATTGTCCGAGTCAGAATTGCCGGTCCGTGCGCCTCTAATGTCCGAGACGCCCGCACATTTTCTACAACGTGAGATAACCTTTCTGAGAATATTCCTGAGTATATCGTTCTTTATCAGCGGACGTCCCCACCTGCTATGAGTCACGAGATTACTTCTGAGTTTTTTATCGACAGATCTAAGGCGGGTCTAAACGGTAGTTCGATGCGTCCAATTGTTGTACCAGGCAAATATTTTCATTCCTTTGCGCGCGTTCGTTGTTTCACAAATTATTTAGAAATTTTCGCCGAATAAAGTTTTCGTCACGAGGTTTCTTATCGAAATATGGAAAACCGCCGATTATTTTATCATATACTGTCGTATGTTGATTTGTACACAGAGGAAAGTTTCTCTTAAAATTTCTACTGAAAATTATGTGATCGTGGGACAATGGCATTTTGAAGAACGTTATAAGTTTTTTGAAATTTTACTATACATTTTACTAGTAAAAATGTACTAAATATAATTAGTAGTGAAATGTATGGTAAAATTTCAGAAAACTCATAACATTCTTTGAAATGCCGTGTTGTCCCTTACAAAAATGTGACAATTGGAAACGAAAAAACCATTGAACGATTACTAGAGTTCAGTAATTGAATTATTAGAAGTTACTGATGTAGAGTAATTTTCTAGTAATTATTTCGCTTACATTTTTGTAAGTGTCCCACAATTACATAATTTTCGGGATAAATTTTAAGAGAAAATTCTCTCCGTGTACATAAAAGTCTTACAATGATATTTACGATAACATCATCTTGCGATGACATATAAGTCATCTTACGATATAGATATATTTATCGCGATACGTCCGGGTTGAATCCATTACTGAATATTATTGGCTTATCGATAACAGAAGATTGCGTTATCACTCTGATGACAATAAATGATGTGCTGCGGAAATGCGAAATGTGCTTAAATGTCATTACGAATCGATGGAGAACGACAAGATACGTTGACAAAGCAATGGTCAAAACAATACCGTACATGTATAATACATGCGCATGTCCGACATGTCCTCTGGTAAACCCTAGTAGCGCAATATATTGGCGTAATATTGGGAAATAATCTAGTATTCCCAATATTGGTCTAATATTGTTAGATCGACGCCGTTTCTTACTTAGCCAATATGTCTATTTAGCAATATTGGTCCAATATTGCATCAATATTTGACCAATATTCTTATTACATTGTTAAATATTGGCCAATGCACTTCCAACATAATTTTAATATTATGTAATTATTATCGTGCAGTATTTACATTCGCTCCATGGCGAATATTGGCTTTACGTTGGACATTATCGGCCAATGCATTTCTAATATAACCAACTTTGGACCAATATATGTTTAGCCAATACACTGTGCTACTAGGAAAATTGCTGCAAAAGTCGCTCGGGTTTAGAATCGCAATTCGACAGTTTGTTTGAAACGGAAAACGTGACAGGCTGGTCTCGGCTATCGCGAGGAATTTGTTTCGACAGTAGTTTCCAGCGAAATATGCGACAGAAAGATCGGCGCCCGCGACAGTAGTAGCGCGATATCTCGTTGACCGCCACCGCGCCGGCGGAACTGCGGTGAACGAACAGACAGTTTCATTACGGCGGAAGCCGTGAAATCATGCCTCTGCTCTGGTCCGGCACGCGCGGGCCTCGGTGCAACAAGAGGGAACGTTATGCGATCGATCGCGCGGTCAGTAGCCCCATCAGTCATAATTAGCTGACCCTATAACGACTCTGCCGATCGCGTGTGGTCTAACGACAAGACCGCCACTCGTTTCCATTTTCAACGAAATCTCTATCTGCGTCGTCGAAATAGCCGTCGACGAGAAGCGGAAGCTGGAAGCGTGACCATTCACCTCGTTGGGCATTGTCAGCTGAGCAAACGCTATTCCCGCCGCTTTCTACGGACTGACGAAATCTCGTCTTCTTCTTCTTCCCTCTTTCTCCCCTTCCAACTTTCCCGATTGTAGTCCGCTCGCGAGTCCATTTGCATGTCACATATGGACGAGTTGCTCCGCCAATACTAATTGGACCAAGATGTTAACCACGGCGGCATATGGCGCGATCGATAGTGACGTGCCATTCAGAGCGAGAGGAAGGAAATTGTTTTACATCGTACACATATGTTGTATACATTTATTCGCACGTCTCTAAGAGTCAAACGTGATAATTAATGAAGGATGCAGGGTGTTTAAAAAAGAAAACGATTCGGAACCTTTACCTTCTGCCAATTTTGGAGTTTGAAAAACTCGTCTTTTAGATGAAGAAAACAGTCCGTTTTCATGCCGCGCAAAAGTACCAGAGGCAAGTCATTGGCTGCATTCAGCAGAAAAAGCTGCTTTACAACTGTTGTAAAGTTCATGAATCTGATTGGCGTATGCTCTTAAATTCACTCAAGATGAAGAGAATACGCCAATCAGATTCACGAATTTTACAGCAGTTACAAAGCAGCTTTTTCTGCCGAACGCAGCCATTTGCTTTAAGAGGATCTCTCAGCCGTCTGTTTTACCGACACAGTCAAATATAGTTTTTGCGCTTGTAATGCTTTTTATTGGCTTTTATGCACAACAGAACATTTTCATATTATTAAAATTGCAAAATTCTTCCACACGATTAAAGTACGCACAAAGCCAGGGACAGTCGACTTTGTATAAAAATTAAAAATATTACCGTGTGAAGCTGTCATCTAATTAACCACAAACGCTTACAAAGCGAAATTTTTCGACGACGCCTTACTGAAGCGTATACGGAAGAGGCCTTGTCTCGTGACACCTTGCACTATATTGGATTATACGAAATTATTTGAAAGAGAATCGCTCCGCCGGAAGTATCCATATGCGCTGACTACGATTTCTCTCGCATTCTCCAATAATGCTATGCCACGTGCAACCGAGAATGCTCGTTTCACACACCAGACTTCCATTCCGCACTTTTTTACGTTGGCTTCTTTACAACTGATTCTTACTCAATCCGCGCGGATTTCTGTACAAACCGTCGTCGGATAAAGAAATGTAATAGTTATTTACAAATAGAGTTAAATCAGGATCGATTTATTTTTAAATCGCAAGAAACGAAAAGCCTATTAGGTCCAAGGCAAGATGTAGATAGCTAAATGATTTTTAACATGTCAATTCTTATACCGTGTTTCCACCTGTCACTGCGCGCCGGTTTCTTTTCAGACACATAACACAGTTTTCGTGTCAATGGAATTATTGTCGTCAGCAAATTCACATATTCACATGTTAAAAATTATTTGGCTATCTGTATCTTGCCTTGGACCTAGGCTTCTCGTTTCTTATTAATAGTTATTTAAACCATTTTTCAATATTTGTAATTTTATTGGCTTTGTTCCTGTCACAATACACAGTAAAAAATTAAATGTTACTGTTAACATTTTTCACGTGTCCCAAAAAGTACACTTCTAAATTTTAAGTTAAAATAACATTCATCGCGCGCTTTACTTTTTGACAAATTAAAAATGTTAATTAATGAACACTATACTTCACATTTATGTTTATGTCCTTTTAACCTTAAGTGTGATGTAATAAAAACAGCCAGAACAAGTAAACGTACAGTCACAAATTAGAATAGTTAAAATAATTTTTAACAAATGTCGATATTACAAGTTTTGGCTGATTTTGAGAAATAGTTGTGTTCATGAAACTCACAATGATATTCACCTTTTAAATGGCACACATAAAATGTCAAGTTGTTATGTTAACACAAATATGTATAACTCATAAAAACGTTACGAAAATAACAACATATCTGTTTTACGTTAATTTTACATTGAAATAATAATCAAATCTTGGTAGCACGAGAAAATTTTAACACACGATTTTTTACTGTGTAGGGTAAATAAATGCAAGGTACTTGAACGAGTATTACTACTTACGGGATAAAATGTTAGAACGCGTCCCTTGCGATATAGACCAAGTTGGACTTTGACAAGCCGTGTCTGTTTAAAAAAACCACTATATATAAATAATGCAATTAACGTCCAGGTATAGGTTATTATAAGCCGCTGCGTTAAAAGGGCACAGTAAAAGGCGCTGGACTGAGCCCCCGGTGAAAGAGGAGCGGAAGCGATCGATGAATCGGCGATCCGTGAAACGTCGGAACGAATAAGCACTACTGATACTCGCGACACAGAAATCGTAATTGGATTCGCGCGATGCGCGACATCCGCCGATTTCTCGTGTGCGTCGCCGCGTGTCATTTCAATAAATTCGCATGCGACGATACCAAATCGATTTCTTTCTTCGTCCTCAGGTGTACCACTGGCAGAGTCAAAATGTCAAAATTTCCGGAGTGGACGATATGGTCCTCCTGCCGAAGGTCAACGAGGATGCCATCATCGAGAATCTCAGAAAGAGATACCTGGACGATTACATATTTGTATCCTTTTCGTAACGTTAGATCGTGCAACAATTGACTATGGCAAATCATTGGTGAAATACTCCTTAAATTACCATCAGACGTGCATCGGACCCGTATTGGTATCGGTTAATCCTTTCAAGCAGATGCCATACTTCGGAGAGAAAGAAGTGGAGATATACCAAGGCGCGGTAAGGATAGAAATGCAATTTTTCTCCTTGGGAAACATAAAAAAATCTCTTGACATTTTAGGCGCCGTACGAGAATCCACCGCACGTCTATGGGCTGGCGGACGAGATGTACAGAAATATGCTGATCGACAACGAAAGTCATTGCGTCATTATTAGGTAAACGATACTCGCACTGAAAAATAATCTTATGTGAGAAGGATTTCAAAACGGTGTACTTTATATATTTTATTTTCAGAAATTTTTGTTTAATGTATTTAAAATAAAATGTTATATTTGTCTCGCAGTGGTGAATCGGGCGCTGGAAAAACGGTTGCGGCCAAATACATCATGTCTTACGTAGCGAGGGTGAGCGGTGGAGGCAAGAAGGTACAGAGAGTGAAGGACGTGATCTTGGAATCGAATCCGCTTTTGGAGGCTTTCGGCAACGCGAAGACAGTGAGGAACAATAACAGCAGCAGATTCGTACGTCTCAAGTTGTGCCCGAATTAATGCACTATGCCAATTTGTTAAGTTCACTGCACTCAACAAAGTTATTATTTGAAAGAAACTAACAAAGTCTTGTTAAATTTTCAGGGAAAATACGTTGAGATGCAATTCGGGGCGGGCGGTCAGCCGAACGGCGGTAAAATTTCCAATTTTCTTCTGGAAAAGTCGAGAGTGACTTGCCACAATCCCGGCGAGCGGAACTTTCACATATTTTATCAGTTGGCGACGGGTGCTAATCAGGAAATGAAAAGTGAGCAAAAGATTACAAGATAAAAGTATCGTTAACAGGTGGAAAATAATATAGATTTATAGTTTACAAACGTTGAGAATGATAATAAAGGAGATTTTCAATTTTACAGCAGAATTTGGATTGACGGACCTCGATTATTATCAATATCTGAGTTATGGCGGTAATTATAAGGTGGACGGCACAAACGACGCGCGGGATTTTCAGGAAACGCTCAAAGGTACGTAATTGTTTCTCGCAATAAATTAATTTTCGTGCAATTATAACTAATAAGTATAATGTTCCACGATTGTTATAGTACATTCTCCTATCTTCTTTCCTAATTATCAATAGACCTCAGTAATTTAACAATTATGTATTGTTTTATGTCTACAGCGTTGAGTGTTATGGGAATAAAGGACCCACAAGTGATGGATATATTCAGACTGGTAGCTGGAATTCTTCATGTGGGAAATATACAGTTTACCGAGAACGGCAATTATTCGCAGATAGCCAATAAACAATGTAAGCTATTCTACAGACTAAAAATACAAATAACGATTTAGTTATGTAACTTATCTGTTATCGGTACAACTTTATTGTATGTGAGTCGCATAAGACGTATTTACCTGTATCTTATCGTATATAAACATGATTAATCGGCCGATAATAAATTAAGTTTTAATGTGATTTCTGCGCGTGTCTATACTATTATTTACATTTTCTATGTAGACAATCTTTTTCTGAATATAAATGTGTTTTCAGTTCTCGAGTATCCAGCCTATCTCTTTGGAATTTCGGCAGAGCAGCTGTCTCACAAATTGATCTCTCGAGAATTCGAGTCTAAATGGGGAAGTCAATCTGAAAGTGTGGACGTTACGTTGAATGTGGAACAGGCGCTTTATGCGAGGGATGCTTTGGCAAAGGATATCTATGCTAGGCTTTTCGACTACTTGGTTAAGGTGTGGCAGAGCATTCATCCAAAGTTTCAATTTTCAAAGCTTACCCAAAATGAATTAATTTAAAATTATACAGATGTAGAAACCCGCGTGTCTTACGCTAATTACACAATTTCATTTGTCAGAGATAAGTTTATACATTTTCATATAATTACAATATGAAACATTGATTGAACGACGAGCATTAATCGGTTTTCACAGAAAATAATTACAATTTTAATCTTCTCTCGCACAAGGGAGCAAATTGCTCTTATTTGGTATAAAAAATATCTATTTTAATTAAGTAAACGTAATCTGTTAACCCCAAATTATCGCGTAATTTTTAAAGGCGCTTATTTTCTCCGTTATTAAGTTGTTGATAATTTTACAGAAAGTCAATTCAGCCATGGAGACAACCCCAAATTATCGCGTAATTTTTAAAGGCGCTTATTTTCTCCGTTATTAAGTTGTTGACAATTTTACAGAAAGTCAATTCAGCCATGGAGACAAACACGGACGGATACGAGATCGGAATTTTGGACATATATGGCTTCGAGATTTTTGAGAAAAACGGCTTCGAGCAATTCTGCATAAATTTCGTGAATGAGAAATTACAGCAGATTTTCATTGAACTCACACTAAAGGCGGAACAGGTAAGTTTTTTCAATAATATTATTTTCTTTGTGATTTGTGTCATATTAGATGTTTCATACTCTTTGTTAAGAATGAACAACAATTTGCCAAAGTATATAAGTAATAAAAATATTTTACTGGCTTGCGCGCTGCTTTGTTATTAGAGCAAGTTAACATATTACTAGACATATATTTTATATATTCTAACTCTATATTAGTTGACTATATATATTTATATTACAAGTATATATTAATCTGTATAAATAACAATGTTTATATATTTATATCTATGAATTAAGCTCGAGACTAATGCTTGGAGAAAATTTAACGTCGCAACATTTTCCCCGAGGTACAATAACTTCTACAAAATTAACATTCTATATCCAGAATTTCTGTACGATTGACTAAGCTCTAGCTCTTCTCGTGTCTTACATATTTATTTCTAATTGAAAAGAAAAAGTTGAATAATTTTGTACAATGAAGACCAAAATTTATAAAATTAACACTTGATATATCTTTGGAATTCTATCTTTTATATTTAATCGTCAAATATCTTTAGCTAAAATTCTATTAATTATATCGAATGTTACAAATTTTGAAAACGTTATGTTCACTTCAAAAGAAAGATGAAGTAATCACAATTAACTCCTCAATGAAATGTCCGAAATTTCAAAATATATGAGGAAATGGGATAAAACATTTGCGACAATGCAAACTGTAATTAATGATTTACCGAAAGAACATGATAAATATTAATAATTGTGCAATTAACATTTCGTTTAAAAATACGTCGCCAAGTATTTTTTGCTTGTACTTTCAACGAAGCAAATGCGATTACAAATCTTCAGAATCACGATTAAATCCATACTTTTCGGAGAAAGAGAGAGAGAGAGAGAAGTTAAATTTTCAATGTTCATAGAGATATTTGATTTTATTCCTCGATGAAGCCGTATCCCGGCAGGATGTCTGTCCTCCTAAGCGCGTACCTCTGCACAGGCGTGGTCTGCGCCATCAGGCTCCGTCCGTGGACTTTGCTGGGCGGCGCGGGTATCTGTTTGGGTAGTTCGCTGGACGTGACCATGGAATTCTCCGTGGTCGACTGTTCGTCCGTGTCGTAAGCTTGATCGTTCGTCTTGCCGATCTCCTCGGTTCTCAGAACGATACCGTCGACGCGACGATCGAACTTCTTGGGCGGTCGAGTCTTCTTGTCCCGCGTCTTCCAGTCGGTCTGCCTCTCGAAGGGTCGCGTGACCCTGAGGTACCCTACCGCGCCCTCGCTGGGGGTCGCCGTGGACGGCGGGGCGATGGTATCCTTGCGGAAGGAGCCGCTGTGTCCCCGCACGTTCACGTAGACCTTGGGCCTGCCGCTCTTAAGGTAGTACAGCTTCTCGTCGAGGCTCGGCAGCTTCGGTGGGTTGAGCGACGCGCGCTTGTCGTCGTCGAAGGTGTCCAAACGGTAATTCGGGCTCAAGCCCATGTCTCGCACACCGAGGATCGAGTGCGGGATCACCTCGGGATTCGGATAGCCGTCGTTCGGCGTTCGCTGTTCCACGCTGGCCCCTTGTTCCTCTTTCAGCACCGTGCGCATCAGGCCCTGCAAATTGACGGCGTCCACCTCGTCCGCGCTCTGCAGCTCGATCTCGAAGAGCCTGCGACGAAGAGGGGGATAATTCAATTTCACTTCATTTCACGTAGATTACGGCTTTTCGCTAATACGAAACGAGCGCCGGGGATTGATATCGAACCTTGAGATGTCGGACAATCAAGCGTAAATACACGGTGTGAGTGGCAGATAGGGACGGCATAACTTCGAAGCTAGTCGGATATTAGCGGTAGGCATCGGCCGAGCGTGAGATTGCTTGTTTATTGTCCACGACATTACGAGATTAATCCGATCGCGATTACAGGTGTCATTGTTCAGAAATGCCTCTCTGCCCAAACTCGCGGATATTCGCGATTATTAAACCGCAGCGATCGCGGGAGAGACAATCGGTTTGTCTAGTCTTAATCGCGCTCATTGTTTTGCTTTCCAAATTACCGGTTGCGCCCTGCGCGGCGCGGCGTATCGGTGCCTGAAGAACTACGAATTGTGGTCACGTAAATCTGCCGTCGTTGAAATTACACGGGAGCAATTACCCGGCCGAGTTTCTCACGTTTCTCGTGCGCCGCAACGAAGACGGCTTTTCATTCGCACTAATTGGGCCGCTTTCCGCCGCGCCGCGCCGCGCCGGTGGGAAAGAATGGCGTTTCAGCTAGGATTTTCCTCTTTTGTTCGAGCGATTTAGAATCGCGAGACCCGGGTAAATATCGTTTCGTAATCGGTGAGTCAGCTGAGAGAGTTTCCCGGGGAGGAGACGCCAAGTAGAGTGGAGTAACGCTACCATCCGTTAATATTTCGCGTTAATCAAACCCAGATAGCACAAAGGTGAACGTGTAAGTTCATAGAGATTTCATTTTCAAGAATACCTGCGGAATTAGAAAACTCAATATCTGAAGAATTCTTGTAGAATCAGCCACAATCAGCTGAAGTTTTGAAGTATTCAATTAAATTGTAAATATTCGATGAAAAATATAATCGTTTTTTCAATTTTTAATCGGTAAACCCGAAGGTTAATTTTCCATCGCGGAAACACTACTTAATCGATTTATCCAATGGAAAATTTTCTTAGTGCAGAAGTTCATTATCGTGCATGTAACTTTCTAATCATTTTTATTGTATTCTTCTATGAATTCCTGAAGAATTACAATTCAGAAAGGGAGGAACTTTGAGAATACTTTTACGAATTCGCTGTGCTATCTGGGAAGGCTTGCTCTCTAAAAGTCAATCAGTGGATTATCACTGAAAACAGTAAACAATTATAAGTAAATCACTGCAAATCGCATGGAATAAATGTAAATATTGCACAATAATAATTATATGATATTAGAGTTGTATTGGAAGTGCATTGGCCAATATTAAAAGATGTAATAAAAATATTGGTCTAATATTGTATCAATATTGCTAAATAGACATATCGCCGAAGTACGAGAAGGCGTCCATCTTAACATTGGGAATACTAGATTTACATTATTTCTCAATATTGCGCCTTTTAGACATGTACGTCTAAAGAGTGTTTTAAAGATATCTTTATGATGTCTTTTACACGTTTATTCGCTGTTTTCAGTGACAATCCACTGATTGATTTTTAAAGGGTGGAGCTCAAGAAAAATCCCGCGTTTATACGGTAAAATCAAATTCGCAATTAACTTGTCAAACCTCGATAAAGTCTTACAGTCTCTAAACTAGACCTCGGTTAAAGATTAATCGGGCGATAACGACGGACAATCGATCACTTGGAACGAGCTCGTAATTCTAAGCGCGAAACGAAAGTGAATTGCCGGTGCAGCGTGCGACGGCCGTGGAATATAATATCGGTACCGGTTGGCGATGTGAAAAAAAAAAATAGAAACGAAAAGGGGAACGTCGGCAAATCGATACCTGTAGTCCTCGGGTCTCTCCACGTTGGTGTCGCGCGGGACGCCCTCGTGCAGGGACTTGCCCTCGAGAGATTTGCGCGCGGACAGCTGCGGATCCTGGCGGATGTGATTAGGTGACGAGGGCGGCCTCGGCAGGACCATGGCCGACGTGGTCAGCTCGAGTAGGGCGAGCAGCACCGTGGCGCAGACGTTGATTCTCCGCGGCATCCTGCAACCATTGTTTCCCCCGTGTGAGAAAAACTCTGCCCTCCGTGCTTCCATCCCGCGGAGGGAAATTTCGCGTTGAAGCTTCCTTCCTTCCTTCCTCCCCGCGGTAAATTTTTAACAGAACCCGTTTCGCCGGTTCAAATCGGTACTACTCGTCATTACGTTCGTCATGAAATTAAAGCAGGCATCGAAGAGAAATTGAAGAAAACGTCGCGGCGGTTGGTCAACCCGTTTACATAAGACGCAACGTACGTGTCTCCAATTGAAACCGCCAGGCCGGAAATTAATAACGTGTGATTAGTCGTTGTGTGTGAAACAGCGACGGGATACTCGCGTAATCGCACACCAGCGCGGTTGCGCGTAAGTATCTTTCTTTTTTTCGACGGTCGCGAGAGACATTCGCGACTCGGGCGTTTTCTTACCGCCGAAAAACCGCGGCAGGAAGCACGACGAAATAACGGGACGGCGTCGACGTGCTCGACCACGCCGTGTAACGAGCACGTTAGCAATAAACGCGGTGAAAGTTTTACTCGCGCGAGCGGCACCGGCGAACAAAATGATACAATTTCTCTTGTTTTCCTTACGTAAGGCGTTCGCGCGTATTCAAGAACGCACTCGCAGACAATTGCCTTGAAATTTACAGGCACCATTTTCTCAGTAGGTTTCCTAGAGCTTGCGAGACATAAATTCCTTGAAAGAGAGAAAAAGAGAGAGAGAGAGAGAGAGAGAGAGAGAGAGAGAGAGAGAGAGAGAGAGAGAGAGAGAGAGAGAGAGAGAGAGAGAGAGAGAGAG